CCTCCTCCTCCTCCTCCTCATCCTCCTGCCCTGGGGCCGCCCGGGAGGCCCGCGCCGCCACGCCTGGGCTCGCCTCGAGGTGCCTTGGTCCGCGGGCCGCCCCGGGGGAGGGGGTCCGGAGAGGGGCGGCAGCGGGTGCCTTCCTGCTTCCCCGGGCTGCGCGCCCCGCCCGGGTCACCGGGCGCGTGCCAATATTCAGGAGGGGAAAAGACACACAGACACAATGAATCGTCGATCCCCAGAAAATATGGGAAAATATGGGAATTGGGGGGGAAGACAACAACCAAGAAAACGTACGAGAATATGGGGAATCGTTTTATTTGTGTGTTTGATTTGTGTGTCCTTGGGCCCCTCCAAATAGGAGGGCCTACTCGCAAACATCCAGAAAAACACACATGTCTGTTTCGACGTATTTTGCATGATATATTACTAGGATTGTTGCAGTAACACTACAGAATCATGAACATGATACTTATCATTACTGTTACAACTGTTACTGTTACTATTGCTGTTATGATTTATTATTGTTTTTTTTATTGCTGTTATGATTTAAGTATGATTATTATAATAATACGTATGTTCATTATTATGGTGATTCGTATTACTATTACTATGATCTTTATTATTCTGATTATTATTCTTGACAGTTATAATAATTACATGTTTCTCTTTAATATGTGGTCGCAGCAGCGCAGTGGGCATGCGTAGCGACGCCAGTCGACGCGCAGAGGGTGTGCGCAGAGACGTTGTGTTGGGTGCACTCTCTGGCAGCGGCGGGCCCGCGCGTGAGCAGGGGCGTCGCCACGCAGAGCCTTTGAAAAAACCAGACGTCGGAAACATCGGAGGTCGATAGGCCTCCTACTCCAAAGGCCCTAATATCGGGGGTGGACAGAACCCCCAACCTGACACGTTGATTAGTGAATTGTCCGTTTTCGGTTCTCGAGATGGCGCTGCGGCCGTCATTTTCCAGGCTTGCGCCCGCCAGGTTTGGGCCCGAGGTCGTTTTCGCTAAACCACGTTTTACTAAAGGGAGGTCTGTCCATCCCCGACAATAACGAGACTTATGAAAACAGTCCCCGGAGATTGTTTTAAAGCACGCGACACAGCGGTAGTGATGAGAAGAAGCGGGGAGAATACGGCGACGACTGGGCGCCGCCAGATGAAACTAGAGGCGTTCCGCCGTGAGAGACGTCGAAAACCAGATATCGAAAAATCGGAGGTTGATACCCTACCCTTGGAGTCGGGCCTGTCCCTCTACAGGAGGGATGTCCACAAATGAAAGAGCGTGTTCTACCGCTGCTGGCGGAAAACCGGGGGGGGTCACTACCGGTTCGAACCCCTCCCCCCCCCCCCTCCCCCCTCCGGCGGAAAACCGGGGGGGGTCACTACCGGTTCAAACCCCTCCCCCCCCCCCCCCCCCCAGCTCATCATGAAAAGGGGGGGGGTCACTACCGGTTCGACCCCCCCCCCCCCTCGAAAACCGAGTGGGGGTGCGGACAGTGGTGGGGACGGTGTTGGTGGGGACAGTGGTGAGGGGACAGCGGGACAGTGGTGGGGGCACTGGTGGAGACAGTGGTGGGAACAGTGGGGACAGGGGACGTGGGGACAGTGGCGGGGACGGTGGTGGTGGGGACAGTGGTGAAGGCGGTGGTGAGGACGGTGGTGGGGGCCCGGCAATCGTTTTCTGGCGGCGAATGTGGGGGGGGGGTTCGAAGCGGTAGTGACCCCCCCCGGTTTTCTGGGGGGGGTTCGAACCGTTAGTGACCTCCTCCGATTTTCCGGAGGACGGGGGGGGGGGATGGGGGGGGGTGGCCACGGGAAGGGGGGGGGTTCGAGCAGGGGGGGAGGGATTTTCGGAGGGGGTGGGGACCCTCGGGTTCCGGAGGAAGAGGGGGAGAATTTTCCACAGTAAAGCGGCGGTGGATCTCTCTCTCTCTCTCTCTCTCTCTCTCTATCATCATCATCAGCAGCAGCATCAGCATCATCATCATCATCATCATCATCATCATAATCATCATCATCACCATCATCATCAACATCAGCATGATCATCATCTTCATCATCATCGTCATGCTCATCCTCATATCCTCCTCCTCATCATCATCATCATCATGATCGTCATCATCAGCATCAACAGCATCATCATAATAATAATAATCATCCTCATCCTCATCCTCATCATCAAAAGCAGCAACATCATCATCCTCATCATCAACCAGTAGCATTACCATCTCCATCACCACCATCATGATCATCAGCAGCATCCCCTATCATGATAGACATCATCATCAGCATCACCACCTCCATAATCATAATCGCCATCCTGATCCTCAACATCATCACTAGCATCACCACCATCATCATCGTCATCATCGTCCTCAGCATGATCCTCATGCTGATCCTCGTCCTCCTCATCATCATCATCATCATCAGCAGCAAGATCACCATCGGTCCTCATCATCATCATCATCATCATCATCATCATCATCATCGTCAGCAGCAGCATCATCATCATTGCCGTCGTCAGCATCACCAGTAGCATTACCATCACCTTCACCACCACCATCATCACTGCTGGCGAAGAGGACGCAGTTGGTTCTTGCTCGGCGGTGGACAGACCTCTCTTTAGTAAACCACCCTTTAGTGAAAACAGCCCAGGACCGAAACGGACGGACCTGGACCCGCAAAAATGACGGCCGCGACGCCCTCTCGCGAACCGAAAACGGCCAATTCGCTAATCGGCGTGTCAGGGTAGGATTAGGTCGGGCGCGTTCTCCTACAGGGGGATTTGGACGAAAAATAAAAGATAGTCACAACATATTCAAAACATGCTCGCAGATGGTCAAAAGGTCGTCCCCAGACTATTCTTGGACAATTTGTAGGAGAGAGCGTGATCCACCGCCGCTTTACTGTGGAAAATTGCCAACCTTTTCCTCCGGAACCCGGGGGTCTCCCCCCCCCCCCCCGAAAATCCCCCCCCTGCTGGAACCCCTCCCCCCCCCCCCTCCCTCCCCCCCCCCTTCCCTAACCCCTCCCCCCCCCCTGTCCCCACTGTCCCCACCACGGTCCCACTCTCCCCCCCGTCCCCCGCTGTCCCCACCACTGTCCCACTGTCCCCACTGTCCCCACCACTGTCCCACTGTCCCCACTGTCCCCACCACTGTCCCAATGTCCCCACTGTCCCCACCACTCTCCCCACTGTACCATTGTCCAATTGTCCCACCACCGTCCTCACCACCGTCCTCACCACTGTCCCCACCGCTACCGTCCCCACCACTGTCTCCACTGTCCCCACCACTGTCCCACTGTCCCCTCACCAATGTCCCCACCACCACCGTCCCCACCACTGTCCCACTGTCCCCACTGTCCCCATCACTGTCCCACTGTCCCCCTTTTTCATGATGGACCGGGGGGGGGAGGGGGAATCGAACCGGTAGTGACCCCCCCCCGGTTTTCGAGGGGGGGGGACGGGCTGTAACCCCCCAGTGACCCCCCTTTGATTTTCTGCTAGCAGCGGCAGAACTCGCTCTTTCGATGATGATGATGATGATGATGATGATGATGATGATGATGATGGTGATGGTGATGGTGATGGTGGTGGTGATGATGATGATGATGACGTTGACGACGCTGGTAATGAGGATGATGAAGATACTGCTGATACTGATGATGCTGCTGATGATTATGATGTCAATGATGATGCTGCTGCTGATGATGATGCCGATTGATGATGATGCTGATGCTGATGCTGCTGATGATGATGATGATGATGATGATGATGATGATGATGATGTGGACGAGTATGAGTATGAGGATGAGGATGACAACGGCTACGATGATGTTGATGACGATGATGAGGATGATAATGTGGATGTGGATGTATATATGAATATTGATGTGGAGGTTGATGATGATGTTGATGTTGATGTTGATGTTGATGATGATGATGATGATTGCGAAGACCATGGTGATGATGGTGATGATGATGAGTTGACGATGCGGATGATGATGCGGGTGATGATGATTATGATGATGATGGTGGTTGTGGTGATGATGTTGATGATTATGGTGATGATGATGAGGAGGATGATGATGATTCTGACGACGATGGTGATGAGGACGAGGAAGGTTATGCTGATACTAATGATGCTGCTGTTGATGATGGCGGTGGTGATTTTGTTCATGATGATGGTGATGATGATGATGATGATGACGTTGATGTCGACGACGATGGTGATGAGGCTGGGGAAGGTAATGTTGATATTGCTGATGCTGCTGATGATGATGATGCCAGCCAATGATGATGCTGTTGCTGATGATGATGACGATGATGATGATGATGATGATGATGATGATGTGGACGAGTATGAGGATGACGATGAGGATGATAACGACTCAGATGATGATGCTGGTGACGATGATGATGATGATGATGATGATGATGATGATGATGATGATCATGTGGATGTGGATGTGAATGTTGATGTGCATGTTGATGATGATGGTGATGTTGATGATGATGATGATGGTGTTTTTGATGGTGATGATGGTTGCGAAGACGATGGTGATGATGGTGATGATGATGAATTGACGATGCGGCTGATGATGCGGATGATGATGATGATGATTATGATGATTATCATGATGATGATCATGATCATGTTGTTGATGATGATGACGATGATGATGATGATGATGATGGTGGTGTTGGTGATGTTGATGATGGTGATGGTGATGACGATGGTGATGATGATGATGGTGATGATGATGATGATAACGATGACGATGACGATGATGATGATGATGATGGTGATGATTATGATGATGATGATGATGATGATGATGATGATGATGATGATGATGATGGTGGATGGTGGTGATGATGATGATGATGATGATGATGATGATGATGATGATGATGATGATGATGATGATGATGATGATGATGATGATGATGATGATGATGACGAGGATGAGGATGCGCCCCCCGCCGCCCGCAGGATCTCGCCGCCGCGGCGCGCGAGCGCGCGGCGGAGCACGCCGAGGTCCAGGAGCGCCGCCGTCGAGGCCCACTTTGATTGCGGGGCTGCGTTGACGACGAACAGAAACGTCCTTCCGCCGCCTTCCGCGGCGGAAGGGCGGCCCGCCGGCGGATCCGCGCTGGGGGGCCCCCCGGCGGCGCCTCCGGCGCCGCCTCTGGCGCGCTCCTCGCGCCAGGGAGGGGGGTCCAGCGCAGATGCAAGAAGTTCGCGCGGAGCGCCAACAGTTTATGTTTCTTGCGTTTTTTTCGTCTTTCCTACTCTGGCGTTGTAGGTTGGGGTGGTCTGTGGCCAGCCCAACTGTAGAGAAGTCAAATTTTCCTGTGCGGGGCGTTCCAGAAAGGGCCTCGCCTTCGAGGATCGAGTGAGTTGTCATCTCTTCCGCCGCGGAAGGCTGCGGAAGGGCGGCGGAAGGTCGGCGGAAGTAAAATGAGGCCGCCTCCGCTGGCGGAAGCCGGCGGAAGCTCGGCGGAAGGCGGTGGAAGTAAAAGATGCACCCCCAAGAGATGAACATGTTTTTGGGTTCAGGGTTTCCAAAGGCGCCCAATCGTAGGAAAGTCTTGCTTTCCTTCATCTTGTTCTGCGCGAGTTCGGCGTCGCAAACACCGTATTGCCAATATCGCCGTCAACCAACATCGCTGTCAGCGCGGCCTTGGATGTGTGCAGAGGCACGGTGGAAGCCACCCATCGTGCACCCCAGGGGTAACCACAGTCCCTATCTCGACTGGACTTCCTCTGGGGATCATCCGTTAAAACGAACACGATGCAGAGAGTATTCTAGACGCTTCGCGTATCCCCACCAGCGATCTGTTGGGAACCTCGCGCCATTTTGGCTGCGTTCGGCCTCCACGGTGCCTTTTGTCAGACTCCCTGGATTCGCCGTTGCATGTCTCTTCAGGGGCTGCCTCGCAGACTCCCTGGATGCACGCTGGCAGACGCCCTGGGTCGCTGCCGCCCGCCGCCTGACCGCGGCCCCGCGCGCCCCCGCTCCGCTTGTCGCGGCCGCAGCCCGACCGTGACCGCCCGCCGCTGGCGCTTCCGCCTGCGGCCTAAAAAAAAAAAGTATCCCCACCAGCCCGTCCAGAAATGAGTCCCAGGGGAGTGGAGGTTATGAGGGAAGCGGGGGAGCATGCAGAAGAACAAAGGGCGGGGTGAGCCGCCATATACCCCAAGAGGGGGAGGATGTAGGAGGAGCCGTCGTCGTCGGAGTAGGAGGAGGAAGAGGAGGAGCAGGAGGAGGAGCAGGAGCAGGAGGGGGAGGAGCAGGAGGAGGAGGAAGATGAGGAGGAGGAGATGGAGGACTGCGAGGACGAGGAGGACGAGAAGGAGGAAAGGGAGAAGGATGAGGAGGAGGAGGAGGAGGGGGAGGGGGAGGAGGGAGGAGGAAGAAAAAGAAGAGGAGGAGGAGGAGGAGGACAATGGCGAGCTTGGGGGCCTCTTGGGCCGTCTTTGGGGCCTCTTGGCGGCGGTCCCGGGGGCCTCTTGCGTATATCGGGGAGCCTCTTGTTGCCTCTTGGGGGTCTCTTGGGGGCCTTTTGGAGGCCTCTTGGGGGCCTCTTGGGGCCTCTTGGGGCCCTCTTGGGGCGCTCTTGGGGCGCTCTTGGGGGCCTTCGGGGCGCTCTTGGGGCCATCTTGGAGGAGATCTATCAAAGAAGGGGAGGTCGTATATTAGCGCTGCCCCTCTAGAGTGCCTCGAATCGCCTCTTGGGCCCCCCAAGAGGCCAAATTCCTTCCAAAACCTAGAGAAAATCAATGTTTTGTGATTTTTCGCTTTTTCGCTCAGGGAGCCGTCTTGGGCCATCTTGGGAGCCTCTTGGGGCCTCTTGGGGGTCTCTTGGGAGCCTCTTGGAGGCCTCTTGGAGGACATCTATCGAAGAAGGGGGGGTCGTATATTAGCCTTGCCCCTCTAGAGTGCCTCGAATCGCCTCTTGGGCCCCCCCAAGAGGCCAAAATCCTTCCCAAACCCCAGGAACATCAATGTTTTGTGCTTTTTCGCTTTTTCGCTCTTGGAGCCGTCTTGGGCCATCCTGGACGTCCCAACGACCCGCGGAACCCCTTGTCCAGGTCGATGGGGAGGGGTACGGGGAGGGGTAAACCCCTCCCAAAGGGAAAGAAGGGGGTTGGCAGAGGAAACGCTCTAGACCACCTACGCCCTAAATGGCTGGTGGGATTAGTGTGGCCATTGCGAAAGGGTGGCACGCTCAACTCCAGAAGTGTGTACCATTCGGGGAAGCGTGATCGTCCCTTTCTCGGCTTCATGCAGGAGGGAAAGGAACACACAGACACAATGAATCGTCGATTCCCCAGAAAATATAATAAGATATGGGAAGTGGAGGGGGGAAACGAAAACCCCAAACATATGGGAAACTATGGGGAATATTTGCATGTGTATTTATTTATGTGTCCCAGGGCCCCTTCATTCATGCCCAATCAATTGTGAGTGCCATGCGCTAGTTGGTCCGGCGGCTTCTGCAGGTGGATATGGAGTCAGAAGCATCCACAATGAACCATCCGCGCAACCTCAACGAATCGGTGGTCGATTTAGCACGGTACTCTGCTATGGATGTAGGGGTGGTGGCACCAGGGTATCATCTCTCTTCCCCCTCCTTTTTCATCTGCTCTCCTTGCCTCCCAGTCATCCTCTCCTTTTCCTCCCCCTTCCTGTATTCATGATGCCTCCTTCCACTCCTCCTCAACCGTTCTGGGCCCTGTTCAATTCGGCAGAGGGCCTTGCTTGTGCGAATTTCAGAACGGCGCGCTGCACAAGCGAGCCACTTTCGTTCGGCTCAACCACGAGCCAGTCTCCCCAGTCATGGCGCCCGCGACAGCGCCACAGCAACGACGCCTCAACAACACAGGCGTTGCAGCGACCGCTGCAGCAAGTGGCGGAGGAAACGGGGCTCGTCGGGAGGATCGGGATCAAACGATGGCGACGGACGTTTTCGGTACTGGAAGTGCCCACGTGAGGAGGAGGAGGAGAAGGAGGAGGAGGAGGAGGAGGAGGAGGAGGGAGGAGGGAGGAGGAGGAGGAGGGAGGAGGAGGAGGAGAGAGGAGGAGGAGGAGGAGGAGGAGGATGGCAGCCCACACCGTCGGGAGACGAGCTCAGCATTAAGTCGGGCGTGTCCCTTTACAGGGGGAATATTCAAAAATAGTAGAAACATCGTATGGGGACTATTTTTTGACCGTTTTGGGCATTTTAAGGGTACTTTGGGGGTATCTTTAATTTTTCGTCCAAGAATCTCACTGTATGGGGGACACGCCCGACCTAAGCTCAGCATCGTTGGGCTCGGGGAGTGGCCGAGTTGCCCAAGCGTCTCGGGGATGCGGCCGCAGCCAGCCAGTTCGGCATTTCTCTGGAGGGGGCGCGAGCAGCCGAGGGTGGGCCCGAGGAGCAGCCCGTCCAGCAGCGTACTTCACAGGCTCACGAACCTGCGTTCGACATCGAGAGCGGCTCCACGAGAGATCGAGCAGCTCGAGAAGTGGAAGCAGTGGGTCGCTGAGAGGCAGAGCTCTGTCCAGAAACTGTTCAAGGAACTCGGACAAGCGGATCCGCAGCATACAGAGATGGTTGCCCAGCTACGCATTACGGCACGTCCTTGCAAACCTGACGACGGCGGTGCTCCTCATGCTGCTGGCTTGTGCCTGCGGGACATCTTTGACGGGGAACGTGCAGTCTTGCGAGTTCACGTATGCTGGAAACATGTTTGACTTGCCAGACGGTGAAACCACATCACCGACGAGGACACTACAGCCTTGAAGGAACGCAGCAATGCATTGCATGCCAGCATCACTGAGGTCACTCGTCAGGCCTTCGGCGACCTCGTGTCCGAGGCCGACCAAATCAGGGGTTCTCACAAGAAACACGTCCTCGGGCTCGGCAAGAAGCGCAAGACAGGGACTGAGGGAACCCAAGGGGCTGCACCAGGTGGATGCGCTGATGGGGCTGAGGGGGGCAGTCGAGGCGGCTCAGGCTCTGCGGGATCTGCGGGCCCGGGGCCGGCAGGGGCACCCGCAGGGGCAGCAACTTGCAGCGTCATCGGCAGCGCCTGGAGCCCAAGCTACCCTAGACAGCGGGCGCGTGCGGCACTGGATAGAACGACAGCCCCCCCACTCCACGCCCGCAGGCCTGACCCCTCCCACTTCCCCCTTCAGTGAAGTCGAGCCTGTCCCTCTACAGGGGGAAGATTCAAGAATGGTCGAAACATCGTATGGGGACGATTTTTTTATTACCATTTTTGAGCATTGTTATTGTATATTTTTGGGTACTTCTAATTTTTCGTCCAAAGCCCCCCTGTAGGGGGACAGACCCGACTCAA